ACGCAGTGATGGTAAATGACCCGAAATGATTCAAATGATCCACTGATTACATCTTGATCAAATCTATTGTTAAAATACATACCTATACGTAATCGAAATTCGATCGTGACTTCGCGGACCCATGGGGCCGCAAAATCATGATCAACATAATAAGTACAAAGACACTCATTCAAGTAACAAGATACTTATCGTAGTCCTAGAAATAAGCTGCAAGACCTAGAGTCTCATTATTATATAATAACGATAATACATGACTAGAATTCCACGTAATTTAAGAAACTATCAAAATTATAAGGTGATATCACCATTGTTAAATGTTTAATCAAAGAAACTCATTCTATAAGATGTGATCATAGTCAAATTGTAATAAAATATAAATAATCACACTGGAACTTTTCATAATGCTCTTAATTCTCATCCTTTAAAAAACTTCTTAAGCTCTTATGTTGAATAAAATTGAAACAGTGATAGAAAAAAATGAAATCATTAAACTTGCAGTTAAATTGATCTGGAATGCCACAGATAGAAATGTTTCTTCTATAACATTTAAAGGAGATTCTTCAGAAATTTTTTGTAAAGATCGTTCAATCATTGTGGATCTGGGTGAAACAGATGTAGTGATTATAAAAGGCGAAACTTATAGAAAATTGATAGAAAAGGTGATTTTAAAGTATTTTTAGTTTTTATAAATATTTTTGGTTTTTATAAATACTTTAGCTATTTATAAAATAAAACCTAGGGAACTGTGAGTAGTGAAGACACATCAAGTGTTGATAGCGAAGAAATTGAGAATGTGTCTGGAGTTCAACAAAGCACCACCCAGGTTCTTAAACTGATAAATAATGTTTGAAATTTGAGTTTTTATAATTAGTTATTAATTTTTCGGTCAATGATTTAGCTATTAGATAGTAGTAAGAACTCGATGGAACTCGAATTTTCAGAAAATGAACCTAATCTGATAATATCGATTTATAAGGATGTTTTAACAATATTAGATTTAACATTAATTAAAAACAGACAGAAGGCAACAGTGAGGAAGCTAGCGAAATAATTCCTAATGCGCAGGTTTGAATGTGAATTTGCTTTCATAGCTTTTATAATAATATTGAATTATTGGTGATATTTTGGTTAATGTCCTAGGATCTACAACCTATCATTATAATTAATGACCCAATTCCAGTTACTTCAATAATTAACAGAGTTCCAGTAAGAGTTTTTAACTCATATTTTGATTTTGCTGAAATTAGCTAACATAATAATAATTTATAACTTTCTTTTATTAGACTATATATGCCAATAAAGGCAAATGTAACGTGGGACAAACAAGCAAGTCTCAGCATTAAAATTTTTATTTATTGGTTGAATTATTTCTAATTATATCTAACACCAGATGAGAAAGAGAAAACATTAAATCTATATGCTTCGGATACTAACAATTCGGTATTTATACTGTATTGAATTTGGCTATTAAATTTATATCACTTCATTATCTTTCATTTTGTAAATTCAAAGGAATCTGAAGAGTCAGGAGATTCTGATTCGGAATTTGATATTTCATCTCCAACGCATAGATAGCAACAGTCTATTAACAATGAAATAGAAAATGCTCCCCTGCATAACCTTGATAATGGTCTTTTGGTAACTGTTTTAAATATGTGTTTATTAATATATATTTTTTATTGTATCTAAATTATATTTTTATCTATAGAAAACTCGTGAATTGATAATCTCATCAGATACTCAAGTAAGAAGTTCTCAAATGTTAAAATTTTCAATGGTTGTTGATGTCTAAATTATTTATTATTAAAAGGGAAATACCAATATCCTAAATGAACCTAACAAAAAAAATAATCCAATCATAACTGAGCATGAACAAATCTTAGCAAATCAATCTAATAGCGAGATAGTTAATGACAATAGTGCAAAAAATCAACTTAATGATTCACAATTATATGTATCCAACATAATTGATCAAGAAACAAATGTAGAATCTAGTTTCGAAATACTCGAGGAATATACTAATGACATTGATAAAGCAGACTTTTCACAGATTGATGATGGTCGGGATAAACAAAATAACACACTGTCAACACTGCAACCTTCAAGCATTAAGGAAAATGCTGTATGTCTAAAATTTTTTTGATAATTATTAATGTTACAAATACTTAAAATGAAAATTCCAAGAACCACCAATACCACCAAAACATTTATTTGTGAATAATATATTAAAAAATAAACTAAAAAATTTTATTATAAAATTCAAAAGGACATTAACAGCCCTTCCTTAGATGAAATCACAGATGTTCAAATAAACCAGCAAAATATCAATGTTAGTAATAATAATCTCGATTATATATTTCTTGGATCCATTTACTTTTTTTCTTATTTTATATATTTACATACATTTATTTCTTTCGTCAAATCAAGGATACATCATTATCGAATAATAACAAAAACAATCAATACGACGACCAACAATCTGACGAGTATGCTGACTCGACTGAAGAAATTGATGAACTAAGATTTGATAATATATTAATTTCAAAATTGAGAAAAAGGAATTCTGACAAACAAAATAAAATCAATGAATTATTTAAAGCTTCAAAGACAATTAAATCTAAAGTCAATAAGGTGAATAAATATAATAAGATGTTGATTGTAGTTAATTGATTGTAATATCTCTAAACTATTTCAAATTAATTAAAGGTCAGTAATGAACCTGTTAACGATTTCATAGAACGCGTTCCTTCAGATTTGACAGATGAAGATTCCTTAACTAGCATTAGAGAAATATTGGTAAACGTTACGAATAAATAAGTTTTATTAATGATTATTGCATACTAATGAAACAATTTCTAGAAGCCATCTGTAACCCAAAACAACCATCCGAGTAAAGAAACAAACCTGCCACACCCTAATACTATTAATGCTGAAACAAGTGTTGCAGAAAGCAATAGAAATGTTAGTAGCATAATTATTAGCTTATCTTTTTCCTCTTTTATTTATATATAGTTACTTCTATTTTTATTATTTAAAGCTCATAATTTCCTAATTATTATTACATATTATTTTTATTATTTTCTTCATTGCCTTGGTTTTTATAACATCGAATAATGAAATTTTAAAAAGGAGTCATTGCAAAATGATAGCTCTCCCTCAGACGAATATCCGGTAACTTCATCGCGTGAAAAAAGTAATGATATTGTCATCTTATATAAAAGGAATCCTGCAAGAAAAAAAAACCAATCCAATATAAATAATGAACATGTTGATATTAATCAGGTAAGAATTAATTCCACATAATTAGAAACTGTAGTCTATATATCTAATGTATAAATAGACCAGATATAAATTTAATACTATAGATCCTCTATTAATTTAATATTCAAATAAATAATGATTCATATCTTCAGTTCCTTTAGCATAATTTGCTAATTGTTAATTGATGTCACAATTGTCGATATAGTTTTTTCTAACATTGAGATGGTGTGATAAAATAAAATTTTAAATTCCTATTGTCTAATAATATATTTATACATTTGCTATAGGAAACTAATGAAATTGAGCTTCAGTCAGACCATAGCATACATGTAAGAAGTCCTGAGTTCGATCTCTATGCTATAATTGAATTTTAACTTGTGTAGAAATTGCTTTTTTCTATTCTATATTTAATTACATTTCCTTTTTATCATTAAAGGAATCGATACGTAGTAAAAAACGTAGAATAGATAATAACAAAAGTAAAGATTTGAAGGGAAAACGTGCAAAATATATTTCTTCAGAATCCGATTCAAATTGTATGAATTTAATTTCTGTATTTATTATGAATTAAGTAATAATTAATTTAAATTATATATTAGAGAGTTCTACTGAGGCAGTTACTGTCAGTAAAATTGAAAGCAACAAAACTAATAACAGGTATCCTGAATCAAAATTATTAAGTATGTTATTTCAGTTATTTCATTAGTATGTTATTTCATTATGTCAAATTTTTCAAACTACCAACTTCATATTTACTAATTATGCGATTAGATTATGTAAAGTTATTGAAGAAAACAAGGGAAGTCAAGGGAATGCCAGAGAGTTTTGCGTCTCAAGATCCAAGTAAAATATTTGAAATGTTTTCTCAGCATATCAACCGATATTTTAATAAAGTTTCGGAAGTGTCAATAGAACCCGAACCATTCCCAAAGATAATGGAAGATGTTCAAAGCTGCTCTGAATATCTGAAAAGTTGAGATTTACATTACAATTATTGTAATAGATTAATCGAAATTCAAGATTTCAAGAAGTTGGAGTTAATTTATTTATTAACTGAAGTATTTTTCAAAATGCTAAAAATTTGTTATCAGGAACAAGTCAAAGACATATCATTAGTTTCTGATTATTGGAAAGGGAGGGATATTAAATCACGAATGAATAAATTCTGGAATATATATTCATCACATACAATGCTAAAAAAATGGACTAGTTGTTGGAGATTATGTCATTTTCTTTGGGTGACAAATATTATGCCTGAGGAAATGGTTGAAGCAAAGTTAAAGGCAGATTTTTTTCGCAATGCAACAGAAATGGAATATAACTTCCTCATTAAAGAATTATTAGGATCAAGTTTCTCTAATTTTTCGAACATAAAAGGCAAAGCAATTTTAGACTTGGTAGAAATTGCCAAAAAAATTTAATTATAGTATATAATTAAATAAAAAGCTTAATTAAATTTTTGTAATATATATTCTTTAGTATGTAAAATTTTTTAATATTTTTAGAAATGTTGCTAAAAATAAAAAAAATTTAAATACAATTGGAAGTTGTCTTTATTCATTAAGTGAAATAATATCGATATGATACAGTCAGACCTCTCTAAATACACACTCTCGGGACCAATAGTAAAAAAATTTCAAAATATGCATTTACAGAGGTGGGCATTTAAAGAGGTCAAAATCTATAATTGTTATATTACTTGGGATCAAGAAAAGTCATGCATTTAGAGAAGTTTTTTATATAGCATGCATTTAGGGAGTGCATATTTAGGGAGGTCTGACTTATAACTATAATCTTGCATAAAACATCAATATATTAAATCTATACTAGTGTTATAGAATGAGTTTTCTAAATTTCTTATTATTAGTATTATTTAGTATTATTATTAGTATAATTATTATATTCTATTATTATATTATTATATTATCATGTAATATTATTAATTGATAGTTCATTTATAATCGGCACTGTTTTTATAATAAGAATTGGAGCAAATTTCATATGAGTTTTATAATAAAGTGGAATCTGGTATTAGCTCAAAGCAAAGTCTTTCTTTTACTAAGTTACCCTTTCTTCAAGCTTTAACAAAAGTTGTAGAGCTCTTTTTTGCAGTTATAATAGTAGTAAGATCATCAAAATTGGCCTAGTAGTTCTTGAGATATTATAACTTTTCTTTCTTCGCACATATAAAACTTCTTTGCAATATTGTAAAGAAGTTTTATATGTGCGAAGAAAAAAAAAGTTATAATATCTCAAGAACTACTAGACCAATTTTGATGATCTTACTACTATTAGAACCGTAAAAAAGAGCTCTACAACTTTTGTTAGAGCTTGAAGAAAGGTTAACTTAGTAAAAGAAAGACTTTGCTTTGAGCTAATGCCAGATTCCACTCTATTATAAAACTTATATGAAATTTGCCCCAATTTTTATTATAGTACTAATATAGCAATAGTGCTGATTTTATCTGAATTAGCAATTAAGTAGTTTCACATAATGTGATGAATGAAAAGAATAATTAGCATTTCTACTATTTCTACTATTTCTACTATTTCTACCATTTCTAACATTTCTACTATTTCTACCATTTTACCATTTCTACCATTTCTACTATTTCTACAATTTCTACTGTTTCTACCATTTTTACTGTTTTTACTGTTTTTACCATTTCTTATTAGTTTTAAAAGATGGCTTTTCTCCTTCTTGCCAGATAGTTTTACCTCCCTCTAGATAGACTCAATTAGATATAGACATCCTTTAGTTATAGGAATATTATATCTTGTAATTAAAGTTATATATCATAAATTAGTATATCTTTCTTTTAAAATATATACTTTCCACAAACTGTTCTTAGTGAAGTAACATTCCACTTCCACACCGCTATAATCTTGCAACAGAGCTCTATAGCTGTGTGCTTTGTTACATGTGCTGTATTAAGAAGGCTACAGTCCACTTGTAACAATTTGGTGCCTTCTGGCAGAAAGAAAAATTCTTCCTCCCCAAAAAAAGGAATAATTCTTAACAAAATCCTCTATTAGCTTTAGATTTTCATCAATAGCTCTACGAATATCGACCCTATTTTAAAAATCTCATCTCCTTTACATTCTTGAAAACCTCCTCTACCTTTTGGTATATAGGTTACTTAGGACCAAAACACTTCTCCGTTCCACTAAAAATTGTTAAAGTTTCTACTCCCTTTTCTTTACTGTAAATTCCTTTGAAATTTTGTCTTTACGAATATCATTACACAAACTTTAATCCTTAATATCTCGCCACCCACTTAACCATTTTGGATATTCTCATCTCCTTTAGATTCGTAAAAACTCCTTCTACCTTTTCTTTCTAAATAACAAACCTTGTTAGCATAGTAACAATACCGTCAATCTTTAATTTTTCTAAATTTTAAAATTTTTGGACATTGTAAAGGAAAACTCTGCTGAATTATTCCAAATTTTATCAAGAAAAAGAAAGTTTCTCTACCTTAAGAGAAACTCTGCTAGAATTACTTTACAAGAAGATATTTATTTACGACCCAGCTATTACTAAGAAGTAATAGTTTTATTTTAGGAAGTTTTGACAAATTGAAAAGATTTGCTTAGAAGGGCACACTTGAAGCCTCTGCTTTCATAGCAACCATTGGAAGTTCTGACAAATTGAAAGAGATTTGCTCAGAAGAGCACACTTGAAGCCTCTGCTTTCGTAGCAACCATAGAGCTAGCAGCTTACTGCAAACCTTAATTAAGAAGATTAAGTGCGAATTACCTACAAGCCAAAGTGTAGGTGTAAGTAATTTCACCCAGAATTAGATTTTTAAATACAACTAGAACCAGACAACTCTTAAATATTACAACTCAAGGATTGCTCACAGCATTATATGCATCGAGCCTACCAATTGCATTTGGAATACATACAAAGATATGAACTAGCACACCAACAAAATAGTCTTGCAAACGATACCCTCCAAGTACTTGCTTCTGACAAATCTTGTCGACAGTGTTTACTGCTACAACTTATCATTATGCTTTCTGCAGTTTTTGGTTGTGGTATCAACCAGCCTTTGCTGCAACTTCTTATACCCAGATAACAGTCACAACTCATTTAGAATTAAGAAATTACCCTAAATATAGTAATGCACGAGTTTTAGTTAGAAATATTATTTTTAGTTGCTGATATAGAACTTCATTTAACAACCTCCAACAGATAGCAGCTACTCTTTTAGCTAATTATATAGATATCGACTCCTCCCTTATCTACCTCAAAATTTTCCTGCCAATGATTTTGACCCTTATATTAAGAACCCTAATTATTCTCCCGAATTAAATCCTACTACTGACACTACTAAAGCTTTAGGAAATTTTGGTTTACCTGTAGCTTCAACATCCCAAAGTGAAGTTAACCCTGCCGATTTAGCTGCCTTATCTAATTTACATTCTGTTAGCCTGCTACAACCTGAAGAAATAGAAGATATTCCTACCCATTCTACTCTGTTCTTTGATTATGATGAAGATACTTCTCGCATTCAATTTTCTTCTCGAACTAATACTTCTAATCCATTCTTCTCTGACATCAATTTAGAATTTATTCTTACTCCTCCTTGCCTTACAACTAACCCTCCTCAAGCTCAATCTAACCTATTTACTCAAATTTTAAATTATATTATACCTACTAATACACCTACTAAATCTACTAACCTTTCTCTTGCAACCGGAGCTTACCTACAAGCTGATTTAGATCTTAATACTACTCCTCTAAATACTCCTTCTCAACTTCGACAACAACTTTCTACTGTGCCACTATTAGTAGATCTTGACTTTATTATTGATTTATCAGAAGGACAAAAAGAAGCCAATGACCAAGCTTCTGATGCTAAAACCAACTTAACTGTAACTAATGAAGAACCAGAACAAGAAGAAGACATGGCTGACATGCACTTAGAGCTGCTGCTGAAGCTATGACTAAACTAGCTACTGCCCTAGGACATGGCAGTAAAAAGTCTCTTATTAAAATAGATTTTTATCATGGTGATAGAACTTAAGGCACTATAATCTGAATAGAAGAATTTGATCGAGCTGCCAAAGCTAACCATTGGAGCCTTGCTCTTCAATTAGAATTAGCCACTGCATATATGAAAGATAATGCCCAAGAATGGTAATCAGCCTTGCTAATGCCCCTATCCACTACTATCATGTTTGACATAGACAACAAGTAAATAGACATGATATCTGCAGTTTTATCCATCTGTTTAAAGCAAAGTTTAGCATCTTCAAGCAAAAGCTATTTGGCAAAAACAGCTTTTTAAAATCAGACACAGTTGACACCTATATTAACCAATTTAAGCAATTATACTATAGAGTAGAAGACTCTGCTCATCATCTTCCAGCTTAGTAGTTCAGTTTTTTGTTCAAGGACTACGTCCAGAATATGCTATTAATATACAGGCTGCTGAACCTGCTAACTTGGATGCTGCTATCGAGAAGCGCGAAGATAGGAAACTGAATAAGTTATAGCTACTAAAAATAATACTAATGGTAATGACAATGACCAAGCTATTGCTTGCCTTACTGAACAAATTGCCAAACTTAATACAACCTCATCAAGAAACAACCTGCTACTCCTGTCTATTATTCTGAAAATAATAACTCTTCTTGCTGAGATAATAATAATAACAATAACAATAATTCTTGAAATAATACCTGCTACTACTGTAGTAACCAAAAATACTTTATTAGTGACTGCTGTATATGAAAAGAAGATAATAAAAGAAGCTCATAAGATTATCGATCCTCTAGCCGAGATAGTAGATATTCCTCTAGAAATAATCATTTTTATGACAGATCTAGATCTCATAATAGAAATAGATCCAGAAACAGAGATTATGACTGACAAAACAGATTTAAAAGTAGAAGCCAATCTCATGATAGATATCGCTCAAATAATATTCTTCCTATGACCGGAACCATAGGTCTAAAAGCTGATCCT